GTCCTGGGGTCATATAATCGCCTTGTGTGACCTTTTGACAAAATATAAAAATTTTAATCAAGCCCCAACCCCCCCACCCCGGTCAATGGTGTCCCTCTTTACCAATCTGAAAATCTGGTCACCTTAGATATAACCCACCACTGGGCCAAAAAAAGAGACCTCTATAAAGAGACCATATAGTTATAGTAAGCAGCTTTATGAAATCAACAATCCAGTATACTGTTCATAAAAGGGAAATTCTACATTGACATTATTAGATAATTTTTTCTTACCTAAACAAAGTTAATCCTTTTCTTGGAAGATCAGCTATTGTTGCCGGCCTGCTTGGCCTGGTGTGTAGTTGCATACTTCCTATAGACCAGCATTTTTCAAACTTTGCAACTTTAAAATATCTGGACTTCATCTCCCTGAATCGCCCAGTCATCCATCTTGAAATTTGCACATCTTAAAATTGCCAAATATGAGCAAACTATTGTAGACAGTAGAAGTGGTTTTAAGAATGTTTTTTCTTAATTACCTCCCTTAGAGGTTATTGCTATATATGTTGCATGAGGTCATCTAAAAGGTTGAAAACTACATGATGCATATTCTGACTAGCTTCATCTTCATTTAATTATTTGGACAGCGAATATTTTGTTCCCCATGACGTCACATAATTTTGATGACAGAAATTCTGTTCCCTGATTTTAAAATATTTTTTCTTTTGCTATTATAATTCCAGCATTATTTTTAATAGGGCACCTTTGTGGGAGAAGTCTTTAAAAAGTCAAGATGACATTTGTGAGAATGGGATTAAAGTCTTTTAAAAGGGGTGGGGCTTCCATCTTGTTTGATAGTCAATTCCATGTTTTTACAAATTCTATATTTACAACTGTTTCATGCAAGCTGAATCTTTGATTTCATCATCTTTGTAATACTTATTCTTGTCTGTGATTTTTGTTTGTTATTTTTATGTTTATTTGGTTTGTATAACTATCCATCTCAAACCACTCCGGGAAGTGAATAAATTGAAGAAAATTATTCATATTTTTATACAGTATATTAACATAAAAATACATCATTTTATGAGATGTTAAAGAATGAAAACATTGTCACAGTTATCTGAAAATTGAAATCTGAAATTTTACTAAATATAACAACTTGTTACACCCTACTCGCAAAATCAATATTTCTCATTGATCCTCAAGTCTTTAGTTTTTCAGCTAGTTTATCCAATTATTTATACTAGTAATTTAATCGCTTAATAATCAGGTACTTATCTTAAACTGTTTAAAGCAATCAGTGGAAAATATTATCAGTTATCTGTGATCCCCGAGGGAGGAGTCTGTCCCAAGGCTTTATAAGTGACAATAGCCTGTCTCAGCCACCTGCCAATCATGGTGGAGGAGATCCTGGCACCCTAGGAGCTGGGCTGAAAGGAGACAAAGAGGGCCGAGGACCTGCGGGTTGGCTCTGTGCATTGAAGATAAATAGGGAGGGCACGGCGGACATCTAGTCAGTGCCAAAGGTGTTCCCTCTCGTGGGAAGGTGCCAGACAAAAATTTGGGAGGATGATCTCCTGTGCCCTGTGGAAGGGGGAGTTAACTTTAGGGAGGAAGGTGGAATCCAACCGAAGGACAACCCTACCTGGGTGAAATTGACAGAGATCCTCTTTTGATGACAGGGCCCCCATTTCGGAAAAGTGGAGCCACTGAGGATCTGGGTGGATTAGGATCCCCTGGCACAAGGAAATCTCCTCCTGAGGAATCCTCCATTGGGGGGAGATGGACAGCTGGAGAAGGTTCGCAAACCAAGGTTGTCTGGGCCAATGTGGTGCTATTAGAATGATGTCTTCCCTCTCTACCTCTACCTTTCTTAGAGTCCCCAGGATTAGAGGAAGAGGGGTAAGGGCGTAGAGTAGGCTTGGTGGCCATCTGCTCCTGAGGGCATCTGTCCCTTCTGCATTCGGGGCAGGGAGGTGCGAGAAAAATCACGGAAGCTATGCGTTTATTGGGGTACAAACAAGTCCCTCAGTGGTGTGCCAAAGCATTGACAAATTTTGCAGAACAGAGCAGGGTGGAGCTGCCACTCACCATGGTCTACTGTCGCTCGGCTGAGCCAGTTGACCCGATGATTGGCGGTGCCCAAGATATGCTCTGCTACTACTGATAAGTATCTCTCTGCCCAGGAGCTGAGCTTCAGAACCTCTAGCCAGAGATTCTTGGAGTGTGTGCCCCCATGATGGTTTATGTGTGCCTTTATGGCAACATTGTTCATCAGAAGAAGCATGTGATGGCTTATAATTGAGTCCTTGAAGTGGTGGAGGGCAAGGCGAGTTGCCTTCAACTCTAGCTAGTTTATGTTGTAGTGCAGGTCAGAGATTGTCCATCGACCTTTGCCAACTTGGAGCGCATCAGGGCTCCCCAACCGAACAAGCTCATGTCTGTTGTGACTGTGGTTTGAACCGGCTCCCAGAACTCAGACCCGTGGTGCAGATCCAGAGACAGCCACCACCGCAGAGACAGGTGCACTTCCGCCTGTAGGGGAATAGTTCGTAATGAGTTGCTCATGTGTTTTCACTGGTACAGAATGAGTGTTCATTGTAGCACCCTGGAATGTAGACAGACCCAGGGCCCTATGCCTATGCATGACACCATCATGCCTAGTAGACGGGACAGGTTCAAGATGGAAACTGACTGACTTGCTCGTACCAGCCGGGCCAATGATTGAAGGCTGACGCATCACTCTGGAGAAAGTCAGACCAGTCCCACGACTGAGTCTATCACCACCCCCAGATGAAGAATCTTTGTCGTGGGCTAGAGATGACTTTTGGGAAAGTTGACAGAAAATCCCAGGGACTGTAATGTTCTGATGATTAAGTGAAGGTCGTGCCTGTGTGTGTAATCGAGCCTGAACTAACACATCATTGAGATAGCATTGGAGTCTCACTGGGGTGGGATATAGGTGAGCCACCAATGCCACCAGGACCTTCGTGAATGTGTGTGGGGCTGAGGCCAGGCCAAAGAGTAAGGTCCTATATTGTAATGAAGCCCCTTGTGGGAGAATCTGAGGTATCTGCAATGATCTCGCAGAACCAGGATGTGCAGATAGGTTAGTTAGATAGGTTTAGATAAGAGATAGATATAGTTAGTTATAGGCATAGGTATAGTTAGATAGTTAGATATAGTTTAGAAATAGTTACGAGNGTGGTTCTCCTCTTACCTCTCGGACAGGTCGCAGTCGGTGTTAGTTGGAGGGCAGGTAGTTGTGGGTATCGGTGATCATGAGTCAAAGCATTTTGCATTTTGGAAAGCCAGTTTCCATGCTTGTGAGTGGTTGATCACTGATCAGTAGTATATGCATTTGGGGGTTGTTTGTTTGTGGAGGCCTTCATGGAGGAAGTGTAGTTGTTCATGGGTTGACAATCATCTCACAGCAAAAGTATTCCAGCAGCGGATACAGAAGGAGTGACTTAAATAAGTCAATTGGAATTATAATAGATTTTCATCAGTTTGATATTTTAATTAAAAATTATATTCATGGGGAAAGTGTAGCTTGGGTATAGGATGAGATTGAAGGTTCATTTTCCAAGTTTGTGGCTTGGTTTCTGAACCAAGCTAGCTAATATCTTCAACAGAGTTTAGGTGATGTCAGTGTTCTTCTGTTTATAAGGACTTTGCGTGATCAGCAGGTTTTGTGATGAGACAGGTGTGGGTATATCAAGTGAGGGTCTTATAATGGGTCTTATGATGGATCAGGCGTGAGTCATCAGCGGGAGTCTTATGATGGGTAAATTATATCAGGTGAAGGTCATTGGGAGATGAAGTGCTGATGGTGGTGGTGGGGGCTTTCATGGGTTAGTTAAGGGTAAGTGCTGTCTCTAAACAGAAGAACGCTGACACTGACATCCTCTAAACACTGCTGAAGATGTTACCTAGCCTGGTAATGAAACATTTGGAAACCAATCCACAAGGTTGAAAACAAACCTTCACCCTCATTAAAAATTTTACGTGCAGCAAAAAAAAACCACAAATATAATAAATGCAAATAAACAGATTAAATACATTAACACACTTAGATTAGCTAGCTCACAAAATTTTCTCTTTTAAACAATATTTAGATATGTATAGGAAAATAAAATCATCTTGATCATTCTACTGTGGCAGTGAAACATTATGCTTGATATATGCCCAAGACCAAAAGTGAAGTAGCAAATAACTAGAAAGATCCATAATGTCACAAGAAAGACTCTTCTATCATTATGAAGGGTGTTTTGGTGTTAGATTTTTGCATGAAAATAATGAAAGCAACACTGAAATCATACCATCCTTTTAATTAAAGGAAGCATGTCTGTGCAATGATTTAAAGTCAAACTGGTTACTTTAGATTCTACAGGGAATGGCTGGACTGTTGCAAGATAACATTCCTCATGTCAGTCTGTGGTGCTATTTAACTTATCATTTAGCTAGCCATTAAAATGTTGTCATCCAGACCACTAGATTGCTGTACCTGTGGGTGGGAGTATATTTATAGGCTTCAGTTTTAATGAATAAGTACTCCAAATTTCCATTCCCAAAAATTCTGCTGAGAAAAATGACAATGTTGAAAAAAGGATTTTCTAACCAATTGAAAAAGAAATATTACGTATAGGAAGTGATGAACATCAAACCAAAAGATATAACTAGGGTGACCAGACGTCCCGCATTTGGCAGGAAAGGCACGATTTTTCATCATTTTTCCCGCGTCCCGCCCGCTTCTCAAAAAACCCCGCTTTATTTTGGCGCTCGCTGGCTCCCCCGCCCATGATCAGCTGCTGCTAGCTCGCTCGTTCCGTGCCCCCAACTATTCTATTCTACACTAAAAATCTAAGCCCGCCCAGCCTGCCGCTCACTGATTGGCCTGGACTCCAGCCAATCAGTGAGCGNCAGCCTTGGACAATCAGGCTGTGATAAAACCCTCATGTGACCATTCCCTCCTCCCATCAGAAAATAGACGTTCAGGTAAGACCAACGTCCTTTCTGACAATTGTAAATAAGGAAACCATTTACTAAATCCCTCTTTTACCACTGCTGGGCCAAACCTCTCTTGAGTTTATTTCACACACCCCTTGATAAAGTTCTAGGGTCCATGATAAGTGAGCCAACTGGGTTTTCCAAATGTCTGTCAGGGATAGCTAGTCTGCCATAGAATTTCACCTGGAAGCCACAAGATGCTATTTTATGGTCTTGCTCTGGCTCTAGCTCTAGCTCTGTTGTTTGCTCCTTTAAATAAGTGGACCTTGATCTATGGGGCATTGGGAAGTGACTATCCAAGCATATGTGATTATCCATGCACCCATGTTATTAGCTTTCTCGGTGTGCAGTGGGAGGTACCACCCCTTTTTTTTCCTTTGCAGGACACCTTTCTCCCAACTCCAAGCCTGGAGGAAGGCTGCAAGATGGTAGCCGAGAAAGGAGGAAATTCTGAGGGCTCCGAAACTCCCAAGGCAGCAACGTCAGCCTCTTTCGCAGAGACTCCTCTGCCCGGGCCTCCAGAGGACGACTGTGTTTTGGCTCTCTCAGCCAGTCAAGGCAGCCAGGTGACCATGGTGGAGGAGGAGAAGACCACTGACGTTACTGCTTCTTGTGCTTTGGAGGAGAAGCTTTGCTTGCCTGATGGCTGCAGTGAACAGGAGGCTGATGAGGAGACATCTGTTGGTGAACCTTGCAGTGACCTTGGCCATCAAGGCAGCGTGCCAAGCAAGCCATCTTTGCTCCTGGAGGGTGAAGCTGTCCCAGAGACTCCCTGTGAAAAATCAGAAGAAGTCACATTGCTGGATGAAGGACTTTCCCTTCGTTTGACAATTTCCCAAGCCGTAGAACAAGCAGAATGTTCTGCAGTTAGGGAAGCCTTTCCCCCAAACGATCCACATGAAACTGGTGAGCCGGAACTCATGGAGTCAGGAAAACTAGAGCAAGGCTCTCTGGACAATCCCAGCAAGGCTGTGCTGGAAGTACAGAGCATGAGTCAGAGGATCGATCCTGGAATGATGCTGAAAGAGTCCGATTCTGAGCCCCAACAGAGTAGGCCGTTCCAGAGAAGAGTCAGTAGTTTTCCTGGAGAGATTCTGCAGGCCCATGTCCCGCCAGGTAGGAACTGACCCAAGGGCAGCAATGTCTGCAAGAGAAGAGCTAGCTGCTCCCACTGGGGGCGGGGGAAGGGGGCTCCTTTGCCGGGACCAGGCAGTCTGCTGGGAGCAAGGTCAGGGGGAGCCTGGCGTACTTTCTGGGAATGATTCAGTTTAGAAGAAAAGATGGGATGTTACGCTCCAGGTTCATCTGGTCTTGTGCCACCCCATCCAAGACCATAGATGGCAATTCTCCATGGACCAAAGAATCCCAAACCCAGAACCATTCCATCTTGCCAGGTTCAGCCTATTGCTCCCTTAACAGTCCCAGGCACTGCAAGAGGGCAGCACAACGTTGCCTAACTCACCATGGACTGAGGCATACAAACGTATTTATCTTACATGTGAATTCTTGCTTTCCTAAAACTTGAATTTTTACTGAAATTATGCTTCACATGTAAAGTTCAAGAAGACCAGAATTTAAATGGGGTAGGTTTTGGTTAAGCGAGCTTCATCTTCCCATAATGACCTTCCGAATTTCTTGTCCCCACACAGTTAAAATGCCCCAATTCACTTTCACACTTATGAAGGCTTCTCTTGTTTTCTTTTACAGGAGACTCCTGGCAAACTCTTTTTCAATGTTTTTTTGACCAGTATTACTATTTTGCTCTTTTCTTGCATTCAGCTTGTTGACTCCAATATGTTAATTCCTGTTTAAAACCATTGTAATTTTTCTGCTCTGCTTACTGATTTGGAGCTTAGTGCTTTGAGTCTATGAGGTCACTGGAGTAAATTTATTTTTTTCAGCATATTTGTTTGTTTAGTAGCTCAGCAAATTAAAATAACTATGATATTGTTAATCTTGGACTGTAAGGTTTTAAATCTTCCTGAAGAAACCAGATCCCTCCTCGTTTGAGCCCCCCTTGTTCTGTCTTGTAGATTTTACTAGGGACTTCCATTATCAAACTTCTGCTCATCCCTGTGATAGACATCTTTGTCTCTCCTCTGAGCTGCTCCTTCAGAGACAGAATCATAGAGTCATAGGGCTGGAAGGGACCTTGGAGGTCTTCTAGAAAGAAGTTGATCTTTTGTCTTGCGCTCTCCTCAATTAAAGCAATTCTTTGCTTGTTTGTTTGACTCTGCTTGGGCTCAAAGCATTTTCTATTTTTATTCTTATTGTTTCATTTACTTTATTAGACTTGTATGCCGCCATCTTTCCTTAGAGGTGACTCTGGCTGGCTTACAAATGTTAAAATTGTTCCAAATGTAATTTCTGGTCCTCAAGCTAAAATTCTTTCTGAAGCCACCGTCTCATCTTTCTTCCTTTCTCCCTGCCATCTTCCTTGGACATTCCATCCAGGCCACTGGGCTGACCTCTTCCAAAGGCCTCAGAACTGGGATAGCTCTCATTCTTTGAGTAGAGCAAGACTCCCTTTTGGCCCTCCTGTCTGTGGGCTGCAGTTCCCAGGAAAGTTGCAGCAACAGGGGAAGCGGAGCTGCTGGAGTCCCAGGTTAGGCAGGCCCCTTGCCTGGGAGGGATTCCTCAGCCCATCTCGAGTGATTCCCCTCTCTTACTGCTGGTGGTGGATGATGGTGGCATCAGAGAGACTGTTTCTCTCCAAAACTCTTGAGTTTTCTCCCTTTGGTTGGGACAGATGCCTTTGGTTGCCTGTCTGCCCTTCCTTTTCCGTTAAGCCCATGCAATTTCTTTTGACATAATAATTCTAATAAATAGTGTATTGTCTGGATCAATTTGTTTATATAAAGTAATAAAATACTAACAATAAAAATCATAATTAGAATATTAATATTTGCTTATTATAGTAAGATTCTTGCATCATTTACTTATATATAACAATCTTTCATCCTCTAATTTCTACCTCTTATCTAACCATTGATAAATCATATCCCATGTTAAAATATTCTATTTTTTCCTTATCTCCCCACCGCCTAGAGCGGCTCAGGCCAGTTTCAGACTTTGGCCCCCCAGACTTAATATCAGGAAAGAAACGTTTGTGCATGCGGTGCGCTGACCTTCTTTTGGACTCTAAGAGGGGTGAGACTGACCAGTTGCTACTTGTGAACATCAGACTTTCATGCCTTACCCTTTCCCATGTACGGCTACCCTGTACACTATTGACTTTTGGTCTGGTAGCCGTGGACGTCTCTCCGGGACATAGAGGAGAGAGAAGAGCGGAGCAGTTCCCTCTCCACCTTTACATCATTGTTTGATATCGCACTATCGCAGTGCTCCGTGCATTTTAATGTATAGTGAGTGCATGAGGTGTGACTGTGATGTATGTAAGTACCCACTTTTATCATATAGCTGTATTTCTGTTTTTTAAATTGTTGTATCACTGTCCTGTTTGTCTTACTTTCTGTATTTGTTTTCCCCTTCCCCTGGTTTTTGTTCAGCCGCCCTGAGTCCCTTTGGGGAATAGAGCGGCTTACAAATCGAATAAATACCAATACCAATACACTGAATACAGCCTTTTTGGCCTTCTGAAACTCCACCCTTTTCACAGAAATGGGTGTGCATAGGCTTTGGGAGGCCTGCAAAGTGCTCCTGGGGGCTGGGGGGGGGGCAAAAACAGGAAAATACCGGACCATTTTTTCTGCTTTTTTGCCCTCCCCAG